ACTCAGGACTTTATTCACTTAGGACTTCCTCCACTCCCCACAAAACTTAGAAAGCAGGAGCTAAAGAAACAGCACAGTAGCTAAAAGTACTCTCTGCTCATCCAAAGGATCCAAGTTCAGTTCCTAACACATATGTAGAGCAGCTCACAACTGCCTGTAGCTCCAGCTCCATGGAATCCAACTCCCTCTTCCATATACATGTAGAATATGTTTGTGTAGGAACATGCATGTGCATGTGTGCACACGCACATACACAAATACAACACACAATTAAAAATAATAAAAACAAGTCTTTGTTTTAGAAAATGCTACTCCTCAGGCTGGGGATGTTTCTAAAATGCAGTAGAATTAGTAGGTCTGATATGGCCCTGTGGTGCTGATGGTACTGGTCCAAGAACCACACTTAAAACAGCAAAATTACACTAGGATTTTTTAAGTTAAAAACAAAAGAAAGATGCACATTTAAGTCTTTTTAACATGGTGGAGAAAATTAGACAGGTTCTTTTGTCTTTGATCTCGTATTCTATACAGTTCGTCCCACTGATTCAAATGTGAGTCCTGCTATTTCCATCCATGAGATTGGCGCTGTTGGAGCAACAAAAACAGAGCGAACTGGAATCATGCAGTTAAAAAGTGAGATAAAGCAGGTAAGATATAACCTGTAAAATTACTGAGGTAGTCATAATTAATATTTAGCTGGATGTGATGGTGCATGCCTACAACCCGGCATGCAGGAATAGAAGTTGGAGGATCAAGAGGTCAGTGCCCAGCAGCCTCAGCTACAAAGCCACATGGAGGCCTGTCTGGAATACTGGAGATGCTGTCCAAAAATAAAATCAAAACCAAAACATCATTTTGGACTCAGACTTTGTTAGGATAATGAATTTACTTTCATATCCTGAGTATAACTTGAACCTTTTTTTTTTTTCAGGTGGAATTTCGTAGACTGTCTTTCTCTCCTGAGAATCAGGTGAAACAACGCAAGATCTTCTAACATGAACTGACCTTTACTTACCCTTTTAGAATCAGACATTGTTATGATCATTTATTTTGTTTCACATACACAGTATAACTCGAACCATTTATTTTTCAGGTGGAATTTCGTAGGCTGTCTGTCTCTGCTGAGAGTCAGGTGAAACAACAAAGACTTTTAAACCTATTTTAATCAGCCTTTAATTCCATATAGCATGCATGATCTTAAGAGCTTTCCACAAGTAATAACAAACCGTGGAATCTCCCTCATAGCAACTGTTTGTAGATAGCTTTCCCTTTTTTACTGATCAAATGACTTAATTTTAGGAGGAATGTGACTGGCAACAGATAACAAATGCCCTGAGTGCCCTCATTACAGCAGACTTAAGGCTTTTAAGAATAACTATCTGGGGAGATAGCTCAGCAATTAGTTGCAGAGAACCTAGTTTTGTCTCCCAGCACCCACATGGTGGCTCACAACAGTCTGTAACTCCAGTTCCAGGAGACTTAGTGCTGTCTTCCACTGCATGCATGTGGTACACAGACCCATACAGGCAAAACACTCATACACATAAAATAAAATAAAAATAAATAAATCCTTTTAAAGAACGGGGCCAGAGAGATGTCTCAGTGGTTAAGAACACTTGCACCTTTGTGGAGGGCAGAGATTCAGTTCTCACTACATGCATGGTGGCTCACATCTGTCCTTAACTGTAGTTCCAGGGGATCAGATGTCCTCTTCTGGCTCCATGGGCACCAGGCACACACATACTACATATGCAGGCAAAACATGCATACACATAAAATTTTTTAAAATGCGTTAGTTCTTCGAAAGTTAAAAATAAAATAGAATAGGTAGGTCAGGTGGTGGTCACACACCTTTAATCCTAGCGCTTGGGAGGCAGAGGCAGGCAGATCTCTGTGAGTTCAAGGCCAGCCTGGTCTACAGAGAGAGTTCCAGGACAGCCAGAGCTACACAGAGAAACTCTGTCTCAATAAAACAAACAAAAAAGGTACTCAAGAGAATACCAGAGTAAGTGAAGGCTTTATTTTATAGTCTTTTGGGGGGAGTTAACATGTGCCAAGGCCCTGGATTTCATCCCAAACACCATAAAAATAAATGACAGGATGCTTTCATGAGATTTTATCACAAAATTAAACTTTCTTAATAGTATAAAAGAAGTCCACTGAATGATTCTTATGTATGAAGAGGAGACACATCTACACATGACTAGGAATCAGTAAGAGTCACCAAACAATATATTATAGCCTCCTTTCACTGTGGGCAACAATGAATGGCTTGTTGCATTATACAAAGAAATCCCTAATATCTTTTAAAATTCTGGGAAATCATAGTATTTTAAGATCTACAAGTTGAAAAAGTGCTACTTTAATCCCTTCTAATAGCACTTCTTTTTAACTGTTGCAGAATTTCACACATTCATATAATATATTTTTATCAAGCCTATTTCTCAGTCCTTCCCCTCCACCTTTTTCTCCATTATCCCTCTCTACTTTCCTCACACAACTTCATGTGCTTTTTGTTCAAACCCATTGAGTCCTCTTAGAGCTGCTAGCATTGTGTGGGTGTAGGGCTGTCTACTGAAGCACGAGCAGCCTTTTAGGGGCCACATCCCTGAAGAGAACTGACCTTCCCTCCCCCAGCAGCCAGCAATTACCAATAGCTCCTCATCTGTGAGTAGAGTTTCTGAGCCCCTCCCTAACCATGCTTAGATTTTGGCTGACTTGGTTTTGTGCATGGTATGAGTTCATGTGTGCAACAGCCATGTCATTCCTGGAAAACACTGTTTCACAGTGGTCTTCTTTAAGTCTGTCCACTCCCTCTTCTGCTGTGATTGCTGAGCCTTGAGGGTGTGTGATACAGATGTCCCATTTAGGACTGAGCATTCCAGTCTCGTATTCTCTTCATGATGACCAGATGTGAGTCTCTATATTAACTATCATCTACTTAAAAAGAATCCTCTTGCATTAATCTTGGTATGAACTTAGAGGGCAATTTGATACTATGTCCTTTTAGACAAATGACACTAGTAAGTTCTCTCATAGGGCCTATGACCTAAAGACTATTCTTACAGAGATCATTTCTGTAGTTATTAATAACACTTCTTTAAAAAGGTTTAAAACCTCCTGCCCTCAAAGTAGAATGATAATAGCTTACGCATTAAAACATCCTAGATAGAAGAGGCAAAACAGAGGTTTTGTTTCTTTGAAGGGGGGCTCTGAAACCATTTGGGAGAATAAGCCAATGCTTGAAGCCTACTTTTGAAGGAAACTTGAATGCTTTCCTTAAATATTCTTTGGAGTTCATAATTTATACAAGGGAGAGTTTGGAATAAGAAGATGGTGCTGCAAATCTCTTAGCATATTTCATAAAGAAAAGTTGCACTCTAAAATACCTTTTGTATTCAGTTTCACGTGGTTTGTAAACAATCCTATATGATATGAACATTCAGAAAATTAAAGTTTATAAAAACATAAAAATAAAAAATAAAAAAAGAAGATGGTGCTGGAGATGGCCCAGTGGTTAAGAGCACTGGCTGTTGACCCAGAGAACCTGGGTTCAGTTCCCTGCACCCACATGATGGCTCATAACATCTGTAACTTCAGCCCCAGGTAACCTTTTTCTGGCCTTCATAGCCACTGTATGCATATGGTACACAGACAAACATGTGCGAAACACATCTATACACATAAAATAAAAATATCAAACATAGTTTAAAAGAAAAAAGGTGCTACTCTGTTTTGAGGTTTTTGTTTGTTTTGTTGTTTTTTTGTTTTTTGCTTGTTTGGTTATTTTTTTTTTGAAACAGGGTTTCTCTGTGTAGCTTTGGAGCATGTCCTGGAACTCACTCTGTAGACCAGGCTGGCCTTGAACTCACAGAGATCCGCCTGTGTCTTCCTCCCAAGTGCTGGGATTGAAGGTGTGTACCACCACCGCCCAGCTGGAGCTACTCTGTTTTTTAAATGAGTGTTCATGTTACAGTTTTTGCCAGGAAATTTTAATTTTCTGAACATTTTCACTGTTTAAATTGGAAAGGACAACTTCAGTGCTGAAAGTTGTTCATTGATGTGATTAGTTAATGATCCTTGTTTTGGTTGAGAGTGACAATGGTTTGGGGGTTTGTTTTGTTTTCTTGTGACAAGAAGCCTGGCTATCCCAAAATTTGCTTTGTAGACCAGGCTGGCCTTGAACTCACAAAAATCTGCCTCCCTCTGCCCACAGAGTTCTGGAATTAAGGCATGTACTATCACACCCAGCTCACATTGTAGTTTTTATAATATCCAATATTACTTGTGAATTCTTTTTATGATTGGAACTCAAAGTCCATATTGCCAGCTAGATGAATATGATGGTTAAACTTGACCTTTTTAGCTACTTGAAGTTTTTCTCCTACGTATTTACTACCTATAGATCTTCAAGGGGGCCCAATTGTTAGGACTATAATTTAAAGAATAGGGAGCTTACATTGTCATTGCTTTCTTATTTTATAACATTGCTTTTCATCTTTACCTGCCTGTCTGGTACTTTGCATTTTTCTCTGACACTTACCAGTACTCTAATTTCTAGGCAAAGATATTTCAGGGTAGTTTTACTTATTTTACCCTTTGTCATGGCATTTGGCATAAAGTTATTTCATTGATTTTTTAATGATAACATACTAATTACTTAAATAGTCTGTAGTTTAATACCACTACTAATTTTTAAAACAAATAATGGCTGCCTTGCCTCTCTTTAAAATTTTTATTTTCTCAATCTCTTTTATAGACTAGTGGTGGTCATCCCTCAGGTATAGATATGATGTCACCGTCCTTTCTGGTAACTGATCTTATTTTATCTCATGTTTCATTCACAAGTGGTTTAACATGCTGTTATATGAATCATAACATAGTATTTAGCTATATACAAAAAACAAATTGGAGGCTGGAGAAATGGCTCAGTGGTTAAGAACACTTGTTGCTCTTGCAGATGACCTGGGTTCCAGTACCCACATTGTAGTTCACAACCATCTTTAACTTTCAGGTACTCCTGTGGTATGCCTTCATACACATAAAATAAATCTAAAACTAAAAACCAAATAATTAAAACAAATTGATCATGAACTAACACAGCTATAAAGCAATTTCATATAAAAGGTCTGTTTCTTTCCTAATAAGGTAGGAAAGAGAGTTCAACTCCAGCCTCTTTCTGATTTCAGAAAAAGAATCAATAAGTTTTTGTTATGTACATGTTCCTTCTTTGAACTGATGCAAGTGTGCATCACTGTATATCAAACAGTGGACTAGACAGCATCAACATCAGTTTGGGATTAATTTGAAAAAACAAATTTTGGTCTGTGTCCTAGTGATACTGAATCAGAAAGACTGGGCTAGGCCCCAGCAATATGTTGTAATAAGCTGTTTAGGGAATTCCGACGCACTTTTAAATTTCAAAGCTCCTCTGTTGTGGTAGGTCTTCTGAAAAGTAATTCACTTAGGGAATGTGAACTAAGTGCCAACTTTATGTCATACACTGGAAATACAGCATTGAACAAAATGGAAATGACTTAATGAAGCTAACAATTTGGGAAGATTCTTTTCTAATTAAATGTCTTTGATTTTAGTTTTTTCCACTTTATTAGAATATATTAAGCTATGAAATAATGTGTTTGGCTATGACATTTTCTTATATGTATAATGTACTTTAATCATATAAATTTGTCTGGTTTAAATTATAAAAAGTTGTGATTTAATTTCTCACAAACTGAAGAAATTTGGGCTAAACAAAGAGAGCTATTGGAAATAATATTTTGACTAACTTTACATAAGTACCCTGCATTGAATAAGGAGGAGTTTGCCAGTTTTGTGATTTCCATGTTACCGACAATAGCATTAATGATTTAGGAAATTAAATGAGAGAAGTTATTTTCTTGGAAAATGTTTCCATAATCCTTTATTTTGTATTTATTTCTGAATCTATTCTGTCAAATAATCACTTTAAGCAATGAATTTCCTCCTTTATTTAGCATAGTTTGTCAGAGTTCTTTATATTGTCATACATTCCATTCCTTTTTATTGTAGAATGATAACCATAGTATTGTTACACCATATTCTCTTTATCTGTTTATCAGTTGATAGACATCTGAATGGTTTTATGCACAATGTTGCTGTTAACCTTTATGTTCAGATTTTTACATGGATATGTATCTTAGGGTATTTATTGCTGTGTTAAAACATCAGAAGCAGGAATTATGATTGACATGTAAAACAAGCTTGTTTCTAATTTAAATTTAAAAAGAGGCTAAAACAACATCAAGGGAGGATTATTTCAGTTTACATCACAGTCCATCCTTGAGGGAAGTCAGGGCAAGAACTCAAACAGGGCAGGAACCTGGAGGCAGAATCTGATATAGAGGCCAGGGAAGAGTGCTGCTTATTGGCTTTCTTCCCATGTCTTGTTCAGCCTGCTTTCTTCCATCAGGACCCCTGCCAGGGATAGCACTACCCATAATAGGCTGGGTCCTCCCCCATTGATCACTAATTAAGAAAATGCCCTGCAGGCTTTCTTATAGCCTAATCGTATGAAAACATTTTCTTAATTGTGAGTCCCTCTTCCCAAATGACTCTAGCTTATGTTAAGTTTACATAAAAGTAGCCAAAACTATATATTTTCATTTTTCTCAGATCTATTTCTATGAGAGTGTAGTTATTTTTCCCGTTGCTATTAAAAAATACCTAACAAAAGTACTTGCATTCACATATATACATATATAAACACTAAAGGGTAGGTTACACTTATGTAAGAGAGAACATGCACTATTTGTATTTCTGAGTTTGGATTGCCTCTGTTAATATAATAATTTCCAGTTGTACCAATTTCCTACAAATTTTCATAATTTCATTTCTCTTTCAGGCTAAAGTTCCATTGTGTATATGTTCCACATTTTCATTATTCATTTATCACTTGGTAGGCATATAGGTTGATCCCATTATCATTCTATGTTTATTAAAGTAACAAAACACAAGGCTTTACAAGTATTTTATGGTAAGATGTAGAGTCCTTTGTTTATGCTCAGAAGTGGTAAGGCTGTGTCAAATGGTAGTTGTGTTTTGCCATATTTTGAGAAGTTGCCACAAGGATTTCCATAGTAGCTACAGTGAATAAAAGTTTCCCTTCCCCTACCAGATCCTTGCCAGAATTTGTTTGTTTAGTTGTTTATTTATTACGTTCTTTCTCTGTTTTTTGTTTGTTTTTAGTTTTTGTTTGTTTTGTTTTTGTTCCTGTTTTTTTAGACAGGGTTTCTCTGTATATTTCTGGCTGTCCTAAAACTCACTCCATAGACCAGTCTGGCCTTGGACTCAGAGAAATCCGTCTGACTCTGCCTCCCAAGTACTGGGATTAAAGGCCTGCACCGCCGCCGCCCCCACCACCACTACCACCACCACCACACTGTGTTTGTTTTCTTAATAATAATTATTATTCAATTAGCCAATGACTTGGAATCTCAACATAGCTCTAAGTTGCATTTCCCTGACTCTTTACCCATTTTAAATTTTATATATTTTTTCAAAACAGGGTTTCTCTCTGTGTGGCTTTGGAGCCTGTCCTGGAACTTGTTCTGCAAAGATCCACCTGCCTCTGCCTCCCAAGTGCTGGGATTAAAGGCCTGCACCACCACCACCTAGCTATTTTTATATTCTAAATACAACATTCTTATAGAATAATGTGACTTGCATATATTTTCTCTTTCTGTGAATTTCCTTTTCATTCTTACTGATGTTCTTTAGGAACAAAAGTCTTCTATAGTTTCTCTGTGTAGTCTTGGCTGTCCTAGAACTCATTCTGTAGAGCATGTTGGCCTCCAACTCACAGAGATCTGCCTGTCTCTGCCTCCCAAGTGCTGGTATAAAAGGCATATGCCACTACTGCCTGGCTAAGTCTTCTGTTTTATAAGATCAGTTTTCTACTTTTTCTTATGTTATTCATATCTAAGAAGTTGATATCTAAATCAGTGACACAAAAATGTAATGCTATTTTTGTACTATATGCTATATTTTAAAGACTTTATTAAAGTACTTTTAACCTTTACATTTGAGGCTATGATTATATTGGGAGGGAATCTCCCTCAGACCAACCCCAGCCTCAGTAATTTAGTAGGAGTCACAGAATTACTCATATAATCATACAAGTATGATTTAGTGCAGCAAAAGGATAAACAACAAAATCAGCAAAAGAAAAGGTGCACTGGCTGAAACCCATGGAAAAACCCACAAGATTCTACAGTACTTCCAGAGCAGAGCCATATAGGATGCACTAAAATCCTTCCAGTGACATGTTACAGCATAGGAGAAGTACTGCCAACCAGAGTAGCTAATTAATTAAAGACCCAGCACAGAACCCAGGGTCTTTGTTTGGGACTGGTCATGTAAGCAGCCACTGTCTGGCATATCCCAAAACTCCAGATACCCAGGAGGAAAGCAGATGTACATAAATTGCAGTGTTGCCATAATTCCTCTTAAAGCCCACATTTCTAGACTCCAGTCCAAGTGCCAAACCTGTAAAAACTACTTTCAAAAGCAGCACTTCTATCTTCTGTTCTGTGTTGACTTTTTTAGCCACTCAAAAGGGCTGGTCCCATGCCGACACAAAATGAACTCCATGGGGTTTTGAGGTTTTGCTTTTTGCTTTTGTGCTTTCGTGTGGATGTATTGTTTTGTTTTGTTTGGGTGTGGGGTTTTTGTTTTTGTCTTGTGGGTCTTTTGCTTGTTTGTTTTGATTGTCATTTTGTGGTTTTTATTTGTTTTGGGGTTCTTTGTCTTTTTTCCCCTAAACAATTTATTTGAGCTCTCATTTTTATATATAGTATGAGATAAGAGTACAGCTTCATTCTTTGGCATGTGACTATCCAATTGTTCAGCACCATTTGTTTAAAAAACTACCTTTTCTCCCATCCAATTCTCTTGGAACTTTTATTACCTTCACTGTCTGCCATCATAGACTTTAACACTCTGGAACCATAAGCCCAATTAAATGCTTTCTTTTAGAAGTTGCCATGGCTATGGTGTTTTATCACAGCAATAGAAAGGTAACAATGTACAGAGGCTCGTGTAAAGTCATGAGAGTAACAAACAAAACCATAGACCAGATAGAATTTAAACAGATTAAGCCAGATAAGCAGACTGTTTGGAATGTCCTGTGTTACTGGTATTTTTATCATTGTTACTCTGAATCCCCATCATGCTTTATAAAATGATTGTACATTTCCTCAGGAAAGAGCACACTAACTGGTTGTCCAGTACCAAATGATCAGCCCTGCAAACATACGTACAAGTAACATTATACAGACTGATCAGGTTGTATTTATATATTTAGGAATATTTATGTATATGACAACAATTAATGAAAAGGAAGCCATGAATTTGAAAAAGAGCAAGGAATGATATATGAGAGGCTTTGGAGGGAGGAAAGGGAAGGGGAAATGAAGTAATTATACTACAATGTCAATTAATCAAAGAAATAATTTTAAATGATTATACAAAGTTACAACACTGCAGGCTGCACAGAGGTTGATGGCTTTACTGTCACGTCATTACTTTGGCTCTTTCATGTGCTTTTTCATTCTATAGAGTATTTACTATTCACTTTGCTATACATTATTTATAACTTTTAGGTTTTGAAATTAAAATATAACCGTTATGACACTTGGTCACAGGGACAAAGATCACTTTTGATTTACATTCTTTCTTTTCCCAAGTCCCCTGCAGCCTGTATTGCTGCAAGTAATGGATCCTTCCCTACTGTGTGTGGTCAACAGACATGTAAAGATAGTCGTCAAGGTCAATGGCAGAGGCGGAGAAGACTAGATGGAGCACTAAATAGAGTACCGGTTGGATTTTATCAGAAAGTATGGAAAATTTTGCAGAAAGTGAGTGTAACACAGTATTGTTCTTTATTTCCCTCTTGAAAATCTGAATCTATCTAACTGACATGTGACATAATCATAACATGATTCTAATTATATAAAAATAAAATGCTGTCTGATAAAGTGTAGACAAAAAACAAAATGATTTATTATTGTGGCATTAATAACTTACTCTATTGTTCTTATTGTTGCAATGGTATTGTTTCTTTTTCTTTTTGATTTTTAATTAATTCAAATTAGGAACAAGCTTGTTTCACATATCAATCCCTTCTCC